TCTTCAGCCTGTTCCACACAGATGGGGGGGGCAGAGTGTGGAGGAGGAAAAGGTGTTGCCTTTCTTTTTTCCATCCGTATAGATTTTTTCCTTTACATCCTTTAATGAGGGGCTGGACATCTTGGGGGGCTAAGGGATAAGTAATCAGCCTCTAACTAAGCTCAGAAGCTGTGCTTACAGACACCCTGCACAGTCTGAGCCTCCACTGCTTGCAGTCGGCACTGTGATCAGTAGCATCACTGCTGTCCTTAAAGAGAGAGGGCATGTCTTTTCACAGGAGACGAGCTGTTCAATCCACCCGTTCAAAGAATGTTCCTCTCTCACGTGGCCTGCAGAGAAGCTCTGGGCCTGAGAGAGGGGCAGAAGTATTTCATCATCGGACGGCCGCAGGATCAGTTGCGTCCGAAGACAGATACGGATCCGTGAGTTGCTTTTCTTTCAATAACAGGGAACGTGCCAGTTGCCGTTCTCTTTTCTACTCTCCGTGTTAAGAAGTTGGATCATGTTGATCCAACTTCGAAATCAAGTTTGATCCAACATGGTTGGATCAAACCATGGCAACAGAGATTGGCAACATGTTCCATGTGGCTCTTTAGGAGCATAAAGGCACGAACGCCTAGACTCAGCTTCTTCCCTCAAGCTGTCAGATTACTGAACTCTACCCATACCACTGGCTCACAATGGTGTTTTTTGTATTATGTTATTTAACTTGTTGTTGTTGTTGTTGCCACTGTTGTGTTTTTTTTTTGGTGATCCCTTGATGTCTTTGCATTGGAGCACACATTCAAATAAGCATCTCATTGCACTTGTGCAGATGGCAATAAACTCTACTCTTGAATTCCCAAAAGGATCATCACCTTGTTTAATGACACCCTCAGGCCAGCAGGGGGAGCATGAGAGCAGGGCCAGTTTTCTCTTTATACACCAGACTTAGTCAAGTTTTACATGAACAAACAGTAGTGACACTATGAGTCATCGTGTTCTTCTGGTGGTCATGGTGTTCTTCTGATGTCATGTCAGGAGGTGTGATGTCATCTCTTAATGGCATGCTCAAGAGCACCTAGAAAGCCCACATGAATTGCTGGTGTGTAATTAGGCTAGAAACTTCTATCTTCCTAGGTTGCAGTTAAGAAGGTCAGTACTGTATCCCAGCACAGTGTTCTTCAGACGATCTGCAAAACTGATAATGTCACACAGGAGCTCCATATACTGAAGTGCTCTCAATCAAACACACGATAAATAACTCGACATGTTCATTTTACATTCATCCTGCAGTCCAGCACTGCTCTCACACAAATTATTTTAGTGTCCTTAATGAAGCCGATACCTGAAAAAAATAATCCCATAAAATCAAATGTTTTTTTTTTACTTTTAGCTACATATACATCCTGGGGTCAGAAACTTGGATCGAGTGGTGGCCGCAAGGACCAGACTGTCAATCCAGTGAACACGAGAGCACCTGTGAAGATCTTGCGGTTGTTAGCAGTGAGCTTGGTTATGGATGTCCTTCCTGATCGACTCTCTCACCAAGCTGTTCAGTAGTACTATTCAGTGAAACGCCGGTAACTAAAAAGGGCTTGTTCTGACATTTAATTGTTGTTCTCAAACATCATAGAAATAAAATTCTGTAGAGTATCATCAAAATGTTTAATCACACCTATTTACTCTACCCATGTCACGAGTTAAGTTTAGACTTAGTAGTGATGCTACATGCCGCCCTCTAGTGGCCAGTGTTGTAGAATTCTGCTTTTGTTTTTCAATTTCTATCTACAACCCTTTTGGATCGTGTGTCTCCAATCCTTGTGCTGGACAGGTGTGTTTCTTTACAGGTTCACTGCAGCAAAGCTCTCGATGATGTAAATTAGCTCCTGATTCTTAATTAAACTGCTAACCAAAGTTCTACACTCTGTGCAAGCATATATGAAATGTCTCCATTATGGTTATAAGATAAGATCACTTTATTGGCCATACACAATTTCTATTATGAATTTGTCTGTTCGCATGCCCCGACTTGCTCTCCATGAGACACACAGACTGGGAGAGAAGCTTGAGGTCAGAGCGCAGGGTCAGCCATTTATACAGCACCCCTGGAGCAGCTGGGGTTAAGGGCCTTGCTGAGGGGCCCAGCAGAGTAGGATTCCTCTGCCGGGCACAGGATTTGAACCAGCAACCTTCCAGCCACAGGTGCAGATCCTTAGCCGCAGTACCACTGCTCTGCCCTTTTTCTTAATAAAATGAAAAATTATAGAATTTTATTATATCAAACAAAGTGTCTTTCCCACCACATACTGTGCAGTAATGGTGCTGTCTGACACAGTTAAACTGTTATAAGTACAGTATTTCTAATTCTGCCTTTACAAACATTAACTATAAAAATAGCCATTAGCTTGGGTCTTTCTACAGCATATCCTGGAGCACGTGTACTGCCAGTAGGCAAACAATGGACACGTTCTCCATTTCTCCTCCTCCTCTATTTCTCCACATGCTGGCTGAGGTCCCTGCTCTAAAATCAGACAGAACCAGGCTCTCTGGACAAACTGTATGTCCCAGAAAAAAAGAAACAGAACCCAGCCTCCTATCCAATCCACCGGTGAAAGGCGCCTGCTGCCCAGCTGTACGTGCGGGACTCAAGCATAGTGTCAATGTCTTTGCAAGTCTGCGACAGCAGTCTGTTTGCAATCTGAGTGGTGTTGTAAAGAGCATCCACATGTGTTTCTTCCCATCTTCCTGAAAGTACTCTGTCCCCAGAAGGGCAGGAGTGACAATGACAGGGATCTCCAAATCCGATCCCTGCCGGATGATTTCCTGTCTCTTAGTGACAAATAAAGCACCTTGCATCATCATTCCAGCTGACCACGGAAGAGCACAGAATAAACATGTACATGCAATTGCCAAAAACCAGGACATATTAAAAAAACATACTGTTTGAAAGGATCATTTAACTGATTTTCTTTATTACTTCAATTTAATTTTAGTCAAAGTGGCAACCTGTATACAACTCACTGCTTGGAAAATATGCATTGTAAAGAGATCAAGAAAGGCGTCAGAAGGCTTCCTGTCCCGGAACTCTGGAGCAAATAGAGTCTTTCTGTCCCGCAGGGGGTGGATCATTCCAGATTCATGCAGTGAGCAGGCCCTCTGGTTTAAACACCGGTTCCAGCCCCCTGCCTCCATTTCAGAATCCTTTTGAATCTCTGTTTCGGAAAACAGCAACATCCACGCTGAGATCAGTTCCGAAAGACCGCACCCTGTCGCCACAAAACACAGCAACGCTTTCAACTGGGAATTATCCCCTGTTACAGTCTTTCTGCACTGCAAAGCTTAGAGCAGTGGTGGCCAGTCCTGGTCCTGGTGACTCACACACCTGGTTTCCAGTCCATCCCACCTTCATGACATAATTGAAGCCCTACTTGATCCAAGAAGTTGCTTCATTGTGATATTTGCATTTTGTTTCTAGTCACAAGTGTGGGATATTAGTTCCCTTACAAAATACAAAGGTTAGCGCTCCAGCTGGGCACAAACAGTTCAGATGAGGCTTATTACTAAGTCAATGAAGGGTTTGATGGTGTAACTGAGGGCTTGACTGGGACATAAACTACCAGGGTCAGCAGGACCACGATTGGGAACCACAGGCCTAGAAAGAATAAGGATGCAAGAAAAAAAGAAGCACATCAAACTTGGTAATTACAGCAATCATCCACAATAATAATCATTCCTTATGTTCATATAATCCTTCTCACCCCAGAGGATTCCAAAGGGTGTAGGAGTGTACCCACCACACCCACCACTAGAGTCCAGCCCCCGCCCCCAGCCTGGACCCCCATCCCCCAGGGACTGGATCAGTCCGGATTCAAACAGGGAAGCCCACGCCCCCCCACCCGCCGCCCCCATTTCAGGGTCAGCCTCGGGAGAAAAGGACGACATCCACGCCGCGCTCGGCTCAGAAAGATCACAAAGTGGGAGGAAGGCGTGAGGCCGCCGTTCTGCCCCGTCAGCCCCACCTACGCAGAGGGGAGAGCGAGAAAGGGCTCCACTGACGGAATCGAGCCTGTTCCCACACAGCAAGATGAACACCCCCAGCCCCACTGTATGGAAGAGTGCCATGGGATTGCAGAAGGGTATAGGCGCAGTGTGCCCTCCCTCTCCCAGTGTGTTTCAGGTGCCATGCAGACTAACCATGCCAGCCTCTGCCGGCCTGGGGCACTGGCAGCCTCACTGCCGCAGCCGAGTGGGCAGGAGGAGGATGCAGGCCCGGATGTCGGTGTTGGGCCCTGGCATCTTGCCCATGGACTCCCAGCGGTTGGCGCCAGGGTCGTAGCGGTGCACCAGGGTGGACTCGCTGTAGTCCTCCTGGCAGTACCCTCCCAGGATGTAGAGCTTGCCCTCCAGCACGGCCGAGGCGGCGTTGACGTGGGGCAGGCGCAAGGAGGCGAAGCGTGCCCAGGCGTCGGTGTGGGGGTCGTAGGCCTCGCAGGCCAGCTGGTCGGTGTAGAACTCCCCCAGGGCCTTGACTCCTCCGGCTACATACAGCCGGCCGCCCAACGTCTCCATCACGTGCTCGGCCCGCTCCTGGGTCATGGAGGCCAGGTAGGTGGTGCCCGTCTCCGGGTGGTAGTGGAACAGGGACACCAGGCACTGGTACCTGCAGTTGAAGCCTCCCGAGACGTAGATCTCGCCCTCCCACGTGGAGACCGCCTGTCCGCTCATGGCCTGGTCCAGAGGCCGGGCAAACCTTGATCGGGCAGCGAGAAAAGACAGATCGAAACGGTAACGTCTCGAGAGGACGACCTCCCCAAAGAGGGGACGGAAAACTGAGAGATAAGGGGCCAGACCCAAGGGATCGTTATTAGCCCAGGGCTCGCGCACTGCGTCCCGAGCAAAAGAGAAAATTGAGACCAGGGGTGGATCACTTGCATTGCAGCTCTACGTCACATCGGGCTGGAAGGAAGTGATCCCAGCAAAAGTTGGGTTTGACTTAGTCTTGGAGTGATCAAGATTATTTCTTCTGAAAGCTCATGGGGGAGGTAATTATGAGACAGGATGCAGGCTACAATCCTAAGTAGGCTTGGAAAGGGAGGGGGGAAGGCGGATTAGATCATACATTATTGATTTAGATTTTGATTGTACATTATAGATTTAGCCTAGGTGACCCATCGGTCACATGGATGTACAGAAGGATCCCCACACCTAGTCATCAGAGGCAACAAAGTGACCAGCGGGATGTGATGGTGGTTTGTGATTTTGAGTCCCAAGCAGCCCCAGCCTTCTGAAGTGATCAAAATGAGCTTTGATTAAACCTCCTAAGGCAGTGGGCTTTAAGGGAATTCGCCGGTCCTGCTGGGATGTCTACAGACTGACCTCGGGAGACCTTGTCTAGCATCCCTGCAGACCCGTTCTCTCATCGGGCTCTTCTTACCTCCAGCTGTCCGAGATGGGGTCGTAGCACTCCACGCTGTCCAGGTTGTGCTCGGTGTCTCTGTCCCCTCCCAGGACGTAGATCAGCCCGCCCCGCACCGCCACAGAGCTGTAGTTGCGTGGCTCCTGCATGTCTGCCAGCCGCTGCCAGCTCTCCTCGCAGGGATCGTACCTGGGAGCGCAGCAGGTTGAGAACCGCGAAGCTGTGGGCTGAGCCTGCCCCCTCTGCCTCAGCGATCTGTGATCTCTCTGTCTACCTGTCTACTCACCTGTCTAGCCAATCTACTGCCTGTCCGCCCGTCTGTTTGCTTATCTGTCTGTCCCTCCGTCCGTCCATCTGCCTGCCTGTCAGTTTGGATAACAGTCTGTGTCTTCGGCCTGCCCTTCTATCTGCCTGTATCTCACCGTTGCGATCTCAGCACTGAACATTCACAAAGCCTTGGCCTAAAATCGCAGTCCTTAACGGACGCAGGTGAATGATACAGTTGGACCCTCACGGGACTTCACTGGCTGCATTTCGAGTGAAGGCACACTAAGCCATATTACAAGCATTTGAGACAGAAAGCTTGATTGTCTTGGTTGAAATGATACTTTTAGAACTAATGAAATAATCTCAATTCTGAGCCTGGGGTGCTGTGTGTACAGTGTGTTCTCCCTGTGTCATTCACATGGGTTTCCTTCCACAGGCCGAAGACATACTGGTAGGTTAACTGGCTTCTGGGAAGATTGACCTTTGTTTTCAATGTAGTTGTGTCTGCCCAGCAATAGACTGGCATCCTGTCCACCTTTTACCCTGCCCTTTGCCCATTGCCTGCAGGCTGGCTGTACCTCCCCCTGGCCCTATACTGGATAGGGTGGATTGTAAAATAGATGGATAGATAAAAAGGAAGGAAGCATTCATCTGAGACAGCGGACTCACCGGTAGGCAGATTTCAGAACATCGCACTGGCCGTAGAAGTGGCTGCCGCCGAACACGTACAGCCGGTTGTCCAGCACGGCCAGCCCGTGCCTGAAGCGCGCCGGCGCGGGCATTGCCACCAGTTGGCGCCACTCGATCTCCTTCACCAGCCCCGTGACGGTGCGCAGCGCGTTGGCAAACCACAGGTCCCGGCTCGGCGCGCGCTGCCCGAAGTCCGGGGCCAGAGTGTCGCCGCCCACCAGCACCAGGGTCTCGTGGGGCTGGCGGACCCGGCAGGGCTTCTTGGAGCGCTCGGCGGTGAAACCAAACTCCCGGAGCGCGGCCTGGTACAGCTCCACCGAGCCCTCCTGCTCCATGGCCATTTCGACCGCCCGGACTTCCCTGAATTCCCGGAAGGTCATCAGGGGGAAGCGGACCAGTTTCATCAGCTGCTCGGCCAGGCCCAGCCGCTCCCCGGGATCCGCCTGGATCCAGTTCACCACGACGCGGAACACGGCCAGCTCGCTGGGGGCACAGAGGGAGTCCTGCGCCAGGTACCGGCTCACCCGTTCGGGGCCCAGGTCCTGGAACTTGGGCGACAGGCCCACCTCCTGGAAGTTGCGCAGCACATAGTCGTCGGCCTGGGCCCGCAGCTCTGCCATTCCATAAGCCTCGGCGAAGGCCGCCACGTCCAGGCAGGAGCCGACGTCCATCTCCCGGCGCAGGAAGCCCAGGCAGAGCGGCAGGGCGGCCCGGGCCTGCAGCTGCAGGGCGCAGTGGGTCAGCTCGAAGACGGTGCCCCAGCCCAGCTCCAGGGCCCCGCTGTAGAGGCAAGACAGGAGGGCGGACAGCTCGCGGGGGGCCGGGGACAGCAGGGTCACCGAGCTCTGGCTGGACTCCCGCATCCCGCTGGAGAACATGCCCCTGAAGTAGTCGCTGCCGGCCGCCAGCATGACCCTGTGCGCTGAGAGAGAGGATAGAGGGAGGGGTGGAATCAAACGACCAGGGCTCTCTCTGTTCTCTCGGCAAGCTCTCGCAGCCTGAACCCGTGATTAGAAAGGTCAAGCCTCGCTAGCATGACCCCCACGCGGGGATCAGGTGACGTGATCGATCGAATGCAGAGTTACTGATGCTCTGGGGGCAGAGCCAGTCTTGCTAGTCATGCCCCCGATCACCTCGGAGATCAGGGTGGAAGTGGGGAGACGCTACGCCACTCTGATTACCGTGGAAAGATCTGCCGTCCACCTCCAGGACCACGTCGCAGCCCAGCCCCTCCGCCCACAGCTCGGCGATGGACAAGAGGTTCTCCAGGGCCCCGTCGCCCCCTTCCCGGCCGACCTGCTGTTTCTCGCGCCGGCGGCACAGCTCCAGCACCCTAGGGGCTCCGAGCGTTTCTGCCGCGGCTCGGACCTCAGCCACGGCGGCGTCCCCGGCCAGCCCGGCGATGTCGCCCGTATAGGCGAACTCCAGCACGGCGGCCAGCCCGGCACTGCCCGTCCCGGTGTCCAGGAAGAGCCCCTGGGCCCCGGCGCCACCGCCGCCGCCGCCGCAGCGAAGGCGATCCATGACGAGGGAGCACACCGCTGCCACCACGGGGGCGTGAACTTCCCAGCATTCCCCTGCAGCATCCCGGAGCGAGAGGTCGGTGAGGAGGCGCGCCCGCCGGAATTCCTCCAGGACCCGGAACAGTTCGGCGGGGTAGCCCTCGTTCCGGCACATCTTCGGTGGTTCCTCCCCCTCCTCTTCCTCCTCTGACCTGTCAGCCGGCACTTGGCCTTTCAGCCAGGAGGGCAAACCAGACGCCATGGCTGCTGTGCGCTCCGCTTTGTCCCACGCTGGCTGGATTCCACAGGAAGAAAGCTCTGGGGATAAAAGCCCACACTTTGAAAAAAACTAAATAAGATGTTCTCTCAGGGGGAGGAGTGCATGATCTGCTGTTAAGGGATAACCACCAAAGTGCCTTTCAGGCCTAGTGATCAGGCAATTCAAGAAAATTCATTTTCAGTTAAAGACCGAGTGTTACCTGATGAGCCAATAGTATTTCCCTTGCGGTTTGTTTGTTTTTTGGGTGCAGAGAGTGACACGCAGTTGTCCCCAGAAGAAGAAAAAAAAGAGAAACAAATCTCGTACTTGGAAAAACAAGAACAGTATTTTGATCTGCAGAGAACGATCTCTAGAGAGGCACTATTCCCCTTCTCCCTCCACGTATGCACTGCAGCGAACACAAACAACAGCTCCTGGACCCCAGACGTCAACAAGCGTCTAGAAATAGCCCCGGGCGCAGCAGGTCAGGTTGCGCTGGGAAATTCACCCTTGGCCTTGGCTCTTCCTCCAGGGGCTGGAGTGCGGCACGCTGGCCGGAGGTCAGTTCCCGGACCGCGCTCGTCTGCGGCAGGGCCAATCCTGACCCGTTCGTCTGCCCCCTCTTCTCTCCACCTGCAGCATGGGGGTCCCTGAGGACAGCCTGTCCTGAAGCCGACCCCAAGTCAGACAAGTAAACAAGCCTCTATAAATAGCTGGTGTCAAATAAGTGGGATCAATCCCCTCGCAGGCAGCCTCTGGACACTGCGCAGGGAAGCCGAAGGGTGAGACGAGAGACACACGCTGGATTTGAGCTTGGATCGCTCTCCCCGTGTAAATAAATACTAATGGGGGCACCCTTATGGTACAGGAATCCCCAGGATGGTAAGCTCCCAAGTAGGAAGCAGCAGTCACCCAAAATAAAGGCAGCTGTGGAACAAGAGAGGCAGGAGACTGGAACCACAGAAGTTAATTGCCCTCTTTAGATCCACGGGCATCCTGGCCACTCTGGACGGGCAGCAAAGCAAGGAGAGGGAGAAGAAAAGGGAACCCCTATTTCCAGAGGAGGGGAAAGGGGGAGATGAGTCCACAGTATTGAAGGTTCGGGGTCATGTTCTCGGGCTGCCAGGGCAGCCTGCTGCCGGAACGCTACAGGGTAGTTCATTTATTACCCTGCTGAGTACTGATCCCATGTCAGGGCTGCTTTGCGATAACCTTAGTAGCAGTGCCCAGTAGGAATGGGCACTCCAGACCCAGACGCTGTGGCGGGGGGGTTCTGCTGCCTTCCTGATGGAAGTACCGAGCACTCCTGCAGACAGGCATCCCTGAGAAAATCAGTTCCAACGTGGCGGTGTCAACATGCATGCTCCACCCAGAAGGACACCCCCAGTCTGGAATTGAACCCAGGCTTCCAAGCTGCCCTAATACTAATATTAGAATTGCCTTGGATTGTTCCTACCTAGAGTGGTTCCTTATCTGGTGTTCCCTTTCTCGTATCTCGCTGCAGGGAGAGACAGAGGCTGTGCAGCTCGCTCTCCTTCTCCTTTACTGCAGCCGGGCACAAAGACGGACCGCGTCATCTTACCCAGCCTGCCCTTGGCTCCAGGTGGAGGCACAAAGAGCCGAGAGCAGGGAGTTAATTTGTCATCAGACACTTCGCAGCAGGCAAAACAAAACTGCTTCCGACTTCCAGTCTGGCTGAACTTTGTCCCCGCAGGGGCTGGGCGTGGAAGGGCCGAGGTGTGCTCTCGGCTGGAAATCAGGCACGCTCACTGCAGGCACGGATTTCTCACCTTTTCCCACATTGTTATGGTCTGAAAGGGACGTTCTGCCGCTTCCCAGCGCCAGTGGATATCACATGCGGTAAGTTTGGAAACGAGTTCGGCAGTTTGTCTTCTCAGGCTGTAGGGAGCTGTGATTTGGCTGACGGCCAAAGGACAGCGCTCTCCAGTACAGGCCTGATATCATCCTGGGTGTGTCTGTGTGTGGGAGGGGGGTGACCGAGGGGTATCAGAAGGAAAACACTTAATAAGTGTTTCTGACTGTTGAAGGCAGAAAGTGGGATTTCTTGGGTTAGATTTGTTATTTTAGGGAAGAGTGTCTCCCCAATAACAGAGTATTTGTCACAGTGCAGCAGAAAGTGCATCTCTGTTTTTGCTTCTCCCTGCCTGCAATGGGGGTCAGGTCTATGTCTAGGCTGTGGTCACTGAGCCTGTCCTCTCTGGACAGCTAGGTCTGTGTCTGTGTCCAGTTTCTGTGTCCAGGCTGTGGTCACTGGTATTGTCCTCTCTGGACAGCCTGGTTTGTGTCTATGTCCAGTTTCTGTGTCTAGTCTGCTGTCACTGAGCCTGTCCTCTCTGGACTGGAAACTGATATGTTTCCAGTTTCTATGTTCAGGCTGTGGTCACTGAGCCTGTCCTCTCTGGACAGCCATGTCTGTATCTGTGTCCAGTTTCTGTGTCCTGACTGTGGTCACTGGTCCTGTCCTCTCTGGACAGCCAGATCTGTATCTGTGTCCAGTTTCTGTGTCCAGACTGTGGTCACTGAGCCTGTCCTCTCTGGACAGCCATGTCTGTATCTGTGTCCAGTTTCTGTGTCCAGACTGTGGTCACTGGCCCTGTCCTCTCTGGACAGCCAGATCTGTATCTGTGTCCAGCTGCTATAGCCAGACGGTGGTCACTGAACTGTCAGGATCTGTTTCTAATTATCCTTGTCAGCCAGGATGTCTTCTTCTTCGTGTTCAAGTTCTGTTTGAGCGTGTGTGTCCCAGTGGGTATAGTCGACTCTGGTTTGTGGTGTCTCTCTCTCAACCTCTTGCTGCTTCTCTCTCTTTCAGAGCCATACAGATGACCCACAATATGTTCCAGGAGGGGCTGTATCATGTCTTCTTTAAGGAGAAGCCCAGCAGAGCCACAGCCCCACAGTGCAACACTCCTGAGCAGCTGAGGGAGGCCAGGATGGCCCACTGGTTTGGGACAGTGGTCAACTCCCGACTCCTTGTCACTGGGGTAAGACTGAACACCCACCCTACAGTAAATACAACACAGGGTCCTCCTCATTTTCGCTTCCTTGACCTAAATTTACCTGTCTGTTTCTTCATAGAAACCCTCATGTGAGCTAAAATATTGTCTGAACTACAGTGTGTGAATTTATTTTGGGTTTCCTCAGTGCAACTGAGACCTGGAGCCAACAAGGCTTAAATGAGGACATTTCTTATCTCAGCCAAGGATTCAGGTCATAAGGAGGGAGGTCATTGGAAAAGTCAGCACACAGGACAGCATTCCTTCAAAATCAGTGGTTTGACACTAGCGCCTCTTCCTGGTCGGGGGTGGGTACTGCACGTATAAGCACACTGAACCCAGTAGTACAGTATAAACCCAGCAGAAGGACATTTCCTCTATGTGAAGCTGTATGTATGAGGCCTGGCTGGGGTATGGGGACACAGGAAATAGGGATAAAGCCAAACTTCCTGTTCCTGTTGGCTCATTTCCCGACTCACTGGAAATAGTTCCTTTTCTCCCCTCCCCAGTCAGGCTCTGTCTCCTCCTGCCTGACCTCCTGCCCCTTCCCCTCCTCCTTTCCATCCTCAACACCCCCCTCACCAAATATCCCCACCAACCCCCCACCCCTCCCACCTCAGCCGCCTGTCCTCCGTCTCTTCTTTCCTCCCTCCATCATCGAGAGACAGGAGAGTACAAGCACTTCCTCTGTCCCCCCCTCCCTCCGCCCGCAGGTCGTCCAGATCGTCAGCGCCGTGGCAACCGTGCTCAGCACCGTCTCCTACGCCTGCATGGACTTCGGCTGCGCTGTGTCCGTGGCCACGCCAGTGTGGTGCGGGATGCTTGTGAGTCCGACGCCCGCGCTACCTGACGGGCTCTCTCCTGGTCCGCAGCTGTACGGCCTCGTCTCGCGCCAGGCCCACAGAGGACAACAACACCCCTCTTTTCATCCATCCATCTTCTCACCGCTTAATTCAGTTCAGGGTCGGGGGGGTGCTACACAACCGGAGCTATGTCAGATTCACCCTGCAGGGGGCGCCAGTCCATCGCAGAGCACACATACCAGAGACACGCGCACACACTCACACCAGGGCCAGTTTGCCCAGCAGCCAATTAACCCACCAGCCTGTCTTTGGATTTGGCACTGCCTGTGTCCAGCCAGGCTGTGGTCACTGAGCTGTCAGGATCAGTTTTTCAATTGCCCTCGTCAGATAGTCAGCCAGGATCTGTGCTCATAGGAAAGGTTTGTGTTCTGCTTGTGTGTGCGTACCCGGTGGGTAGAGCTGGCTCAGGTTTGTGGTCTCTCTCTCTCTTGACCTCTTAAAACCTCTTACTGCTCAGAGACTGGGGGGAAACCAGAGCTTTCCTAGGGGAAATTCGTTTTACGGCACACTCAAACACAACACAATGACAAATACCCATCATAAGAAGGGAAGAGGATACAGTAGTGTTACAGGAGAAAAGAATCAAGAGACAAGGTAGTTACTTTGCATTGTTTAGGAGTGGAATTGCAGTGGGAGTCTGTTGGTTTTACAGCTGGGGCACCGAGGCGAGAAGTGTGAATTTGCAGTGGAGGGGGTGAGACACACACTCCCAGATGCTTTTGGCTTTCTTGGTCACCCTCTGCTTGTAAAGGATGCTTAAGATGATATGTTTATGCCTGATTAATTTACCACTTATATCCACTAATTTACCCAGTCTATTACACTTAGCAGTACTTACAGTATGTTGCCAAACCAACAAGAGAAGCAGTATGTTAAGACACTTTCAATGAATGATTTGTAGAAATGTGTAAGGATAGTTTTATCTACCTTAAGGCAGCTGAGTTTTCTAAGAAAACTGTTGGCCTTTTCGATAGTGTCACAACATTTGTCCCATTTCAGGTTTTTATCAATGACCAGTCCCAAGTACTCATAGTCATCGACAATTTCAGCAGGCTGACCGTCAATTGTAGTGGGTTGAGGGGGTGTGGTATTTTTCCTAAAATCAATAGCTAGTTCCTTTGTTTTTGAAACATTTAACTCTAGGGAGAACGCGTTGCACCAGTTAGTAAAACCATTTAGAATGGGCCCATGATGGTCCTCTGTGTCCTTTAATTAACTAACCAGGGCTGTGTTATCAGCAAACTTAATGAGATGTCATTATGTCATTAAGTTATCCCATAACAAGGGGAGAACATGCAAACTCCACCAATAGTCCACACCCCAAGCCTGGAATGGAACTCGGGGTCCAGCACTGTGCCAGTGTGCCATCTCCTTTTCAATATTATTAATTGAAATATTTCATATAACTCACTGTATGATCACTCCAGATGTGCACTTAGTGTGTGCAATAAGAATCCGGTGGACACCTGGAGTGCAGACTTTATCACACTGTGGCCTTGTGTTTCCTGCAGTATCTGGCAACTGGGAGTTTTGCGATTGAAGTGCAGAGGAAACCCAAGAAAGTTAAGGTGAGTGTCTGGTGTACTAGTCAGTCTGCTCTCTACCTGTCTGCTGGTGTTCTTGTACACCTGTAGTGTCAGAGGAGTCGAGTGAATGTTTTCCCCTCTGCGGGTGAGTTAGGGACTGAGGCACAGCTGCAGAAGATCCTACCGGCTGCTTCTGTCTATTTTCAAGCAGAGTCTCTTGGGATCTTCTTATTGTTTCCCCATGAATACATTTCCCCCTCTCTCTCCGTCTCCAGGAGTCACCCTATCTGCTATTTAATCAGGTCATCAGAACCTGATCAGGAAAAAACCTTTAGAAAAATGTTTGAAACACTTAACAGCTTGACTGTGTTCCCAAGATCTCCTCTTCTGCCTGTCTGCCTCACTCTAACCCCAACATCCATTTAATTCGATTCAATGCAATTCAAGGTGCTTTATTGGCATGACCAATGAATCCAGTGGTGCCTGCACCACCAGAAGAAAATCAGAAGAACACACATTACTTTTTTGAGTGCAACACGCTTTACTTTCATTGTTTCCCTCTTCCACGCAACACAGAGAAACTTTAGGTAATCACATATGTAAGAACACACGCCTCTATACACAGTTAAAATGATGTTAAAATGCCAATGGAATAAATACAATTAACATTAAAAAAAATCTACAGACATTTACAATAAAGACACAATCATAAGATATTTACATATAAACATATGGAGCATTATTGGGAGACAGGCTCACTGTTCCTCAGGCTGGGACAGGAGATCACATACTGGGCTGCCTCCTCCCTCTCCCAGTAAGATTGGGAATTGTGACTCTGGCATGGGATTCATTAAACTGCTGCAGGGGACAAGAACTATCGTCCTTCTGCTTAAGCTCTCTTTCTGAGCCGTATCATACTAGAACAAACGGTGTAATACATTTTAAAAATATTTTTAGAAGCAGATTCAAGCAGGACAATGACAGTGATGATACTGTCTTTTTTAGGTGACCACTCTGATGGGGCTGAATATTTTCAGCCTGCTGTTGGGGCTGTGTGCAATGATTACCTACGGCCTGCAGATGGCGACAGAGCCCAAGAAGCTCAACAGAGAGCAGGTGAACTTCTCTCCCTTTGTCCCTTCCGCACTGAGCTTCTCCAACTGTCTTCCCATGCCCTTGCCTTGTACATCACCTGATATTTGATTGTTCCCCTAATCCATTGCAGTGCTCCATTGCACCTCAGAGCTCTTACCCAGGAAAATGTCAGCATTGTCAATCAAGGGATTATCATAGCATAACATAACATCACTATATTGGCCCTATACAATTTCTTGCATTTGGAATGTGTCTTTTCACAGACCCCAGCTTGCTCTCAATCAGACACACAGACTGGGAGAGAGAAGCTTGGGGTCAGAGCGCAGGGTCAGCCATTTATACGGCTGGGGTTGAGGATCTTGCTCAGGAGCCCAACGGAGTAGGATTCCTCTGCTGGCTGTGGGATTTGAACTGGCAACCTTCTAGCCACAGGCGCAGATGCCACCGCTCCGCCCCGTGGAAGCATGGAATAGGAAAGCACAGTAAAAGCTTTGTGCAGAGCCATTTAAATAAACATGTCAACTACAGAAAGAATGAATGTTTCCCATGTGAATCCCTCAAGAAAATGGGCAGTACTGTACAATGAAATGTAGGGGTATTACACCAGAGGTCTGGCCAAATTTCTCAGCCATGGCCTCCTAATAATCCCCCTCTTTGAACTGGCTTCATCACTCTGCTCTCCTCCCCACTGAGAGCTGGTGTGTGGTGGGAGTACTGGAGCATCATCCACCTGGGGCTACATTGGTGGCGGTAGTGGGATTCCCCATTTCCTGTAATGCGCTCTGAGTGGAGTGTCTAGAAAAGCACTATAAGAAGGTAGTGTTATTATTATTTCCCTCTTATTTTGTTTTTTTTTTTTTTTGTTGGGATGCTGTGCAGAAAATCGGTGTTTATGTGGCAAAGGGCAGCAGCATTCTGTTCACGGTGCAGAGTCTGGTCGCCTCTTTGTACACCCTGTTTCTGATCTGGCAAGGAGTCAGCCGATACACCATGAACTACCGCTCCACCTACAGCCGCGTGCCACAGGTGAGCCTGGGGAATCGTAGTCTTCATCCACAACCCCCTCCTCTTCTTCCGTCCCACAGGAGTCGTCGCTGGTAGGGAGCGGAGTTGGGGAGTCACCTCCCCACCCTGCCCCCATGCCCAGCGCCATCAGCTCGGGAAAAGAAAATGACAAACGTTGCCAATTTCATCTCTGAGTATCTTCCACCATTCATTCACTGATTAACACATGAAATCTAACCCTCCTGCTTCTGCCTGACTCCCATGGGCATTTAACAGCTCAATTAGACGCATGCTTTCAGGCATCCCCTCACTGGCCTGGTCTAAAGGTCCTACTATCTATCTTACTGTCTGACTCTCCGTGGTCATTAAAAATCCCAGGGCATTTCTCGAAAAGAGTAGGGGTGTTACCCCAGTGTCCTGGCCAAATTTCCCCCTGGTCTTTCCAATCATGGCCTCCTAATAACCCCCCTCTCTGAACTGGCTTCATCACTCTGCTCTCCTCCCCACTGAGATCTGGAGTGTGGTGGGAGTACTGGAGCATCATAGAGGTGAGGGCTGCACACTGGTGGTGGTAGTGGGATTCCCCATTACCTGTAAAGTGCTTTGAGTGGAGTGTCCAGAAAAAGGCTATATAAGTGTAGAGAGACTCTTCCATCCTCTGCAAGATTGAGGCTGCCCAGAGGCAGGGCTGCATGCCTTAGTTCTGAAACACTCGAGAGACTCACCCTATTCTTCAGACACTCCCTTGGTATCAAGGCAGATCCCTGGAAACACAATGACAATCCATCTATTGTGACATCACCCTTACTGTAGCATGCTAATGGACAACCAGTCTCGAACATCTTTCCCTGTAGCATTTCAGACACTCCTGAATTTTAGAAAAAAAAATCAGCCCTCTTCTATCAGTCATGTCACTGGTTCAGCCGTGAAAAGGACAGATCACATAGCACGGCTTCCCATCCTTTGTAATGGTAATCTCCCACACCCAGGTCTCACTCCAGGCGAGCTCTGCCCTTCATTCTACCTTTAATTGACCTAGCAAGTCGCTCAATTGGACGATTTGTTTTCTTTCCTGCTCAGCAGTGGGAGATCTGAAGTTATTTCTGAACAGCGTTAGTTAAAGGGCAGGTGTCAGAACTGAAGCCAGTAAAAATCACCATCTAGAATTAGATGGTAAATGTGGTTGCCTGGGACAACCGCCGGGGACGCCGAGTCTAGATTACCCTTATCCTCACACACCTTTTATCTTTTATCTTTTTTTGCACAATAAGAAGCGATTTCCTCCTCAGTAGAGAGGGCGATTGGTTTTTTTTTTTAAAACATTCGAAATGTCAAGATCTCCTACAAATTCTGCGGCCGATGTACAGTCCACAAATCGGTACATCGGGAGATTCTCTTTATCTTTTCGTTTCTTTTCCCAGGACATGGAGGAAAACAGTGACAATGTGTTAGACACCGGCGAATTCAGTCTCTGAAAACTGCAAACCCCGAAAGACTGTTCTAATTTATTTGCTGAGAAGGGTTTCACACACCACTAGACATCTGTACCTTTAACATTGGACATTTTACTGCACAGATTATTCGAGTGAAGGCTGCTTTAAAGAAATCCGTGCTGTAGTCTGAGAAAAGCTGATGTAATGGGATATCTGGTTCGTCAGCAAGGCCAGGACGTTTTGTGCTGTGGTTTAGTTCCCTGTGTCCAGGTTTTAAAACAGATTCAGAAGAAGGAAGAAAGGTTAATGCTTTCTAATACAAATGAGTAATAAATCCTTTCTTAACCATAATTATATGACATACTGTATATTAGGGTATATGAGCATATGAGGAGCACATTGTATGTTAACCACAACTTGTTTCATTATAAGTATTTATAAAGAATATTGTAAATATCATTATAGATCCTTTCGTGGCTGGCTGCTGTAACACACTTTTTATCAGGAGGTCATTGTCACTTAACGTCAGATGAATATGAACACGCACCCTGTAATTCTCTGTATAAAACTGGTAATAAATCAGGATATAAAGACACAGCTGAGGTGACTGTTTTTTTTTTGGAGAAAAGAGCAAGACAAGAACGAAATGGAGGAAACAAATGAACAGGCCCTTGAACTGGTTCTGCCCAAGGCGGGGCATTGTGGGATATCGTCTGAGTGGTGCTCTCAGATTGAAGCGGACGCGGGATGTGGGGTTTCTCTATCCTGCGTAACCTCCTTCTCCACAAACTCCGTCACCTTCCACACAGTCGGTCACGTCAGCGCAGTAACAGACAAGAGCACATGGGAATTGCCCTGTGCTTGATGGAGTGTCTAAAAAATGCTGGGAGAGTTGCCACCTAGGGGCTGAACTTGATAGGATTGCATAAATATAGAAGAGAAGGCGGAATGAGATCCTTTGGTCAGGACCAGAGCCGCTACTTTACACAGAGAGTGGTGGGGGTGGGGAACAAGCCGCCCAGCCATGTTGTTGAAGTTGATACCCTGGCTTCTCTCAAAGAAAACACCTGGTAGAGATCCTCTGGCAAGGAAAACAGTCTTTTGGATAGCACACAGGAAGGTTGGAGCCCTTTTGTCCTCTTTAGTTATAGCTGTAAGACGGCATGTGGGGAAGACCGGAAAAGTTTGTCTGTCAAAAGAATGTTGCCCCTGGCAAACAGTAGACATAGGAGACTGTCCCAATCTGCCCGTAATATCAGCCAGCGCTAAAGCCTCTGTCAGTGAGGCAGGGTTTTCAAATTTTGCATACGGACATGAGAAAGATTACAAACGAAAAGAGGCCATTTAGCCTATTGAGATTGCTCGGTTGTTAATAGTTTATTGATCCAGGATCTAATCCAGCTGTGTCTGTAGAGAAGCCAGGATATCTGCTTCAACAGTAAGGCTGGGCGGCTTGTTCCACACTCCCGCCACCCTGTGTGTAAAGAGCCTCCTGTGCTGACTGGAGGGGCTCATCCAACCAGAAACTCAACCAACCTTAGAGAAGCCAGGAAATCGGCTTCAGCAACACGGCTGAGCATCTTGTTCCACACCCCCACTACCCTCTGTGTAAAGACAGGCAAGACTGCATGCGTTAGCAGTTCTGGTTTTTAAATGCACTTCTCTGTGGATTTTACTTGTGCCCTCTGTCTCGTGTTTCACTGCTCCATCGGAAGAAGTCCGCCGGGTGAATGCTGTCAAAGCCTTTGAGGAATGTGAATACTGTACTTGGATCAAGTCTCCTTGTAATCCTCTCTGTGCAAGACTCAGAAGGAAAACACAATCACATCAAGTGTTTCCTATCTCCTTACGTTCTTATCATGAGATGCGTGGACAGTATGTCCGAAAAAATATCAACAATTTTCCGGACGGTTTCTCTAACTGTTCCTCCGTTTCCCACCGTCTATTCTCTGAGATGCCGAAAAGCCCAGGCAACTCAGGAACGCAGTTCCCACATTTTCGAGGTAAGGAAAGCAGCAAAACACGGAATCCCCTCCACACTGAACCAATGTCCCCACACTGACTCCCTGACGACATGAACACTTTGTAAAACATTTTGAAAACTTCTCTGAGGTACAGTATACCTGTCTGTAGATACGAAGGGTAATTTAGGCAAATGTTGAATGCTTTATTATTATTATTATTATTATTATTGTTGTTGTTGTTGTTGTTGTTGTTGTTGTTGTTATGAAGTTATTACACGCTTAATCACCTAGTGATTAAGAAGACATCGAGAAAACAATACCATCAAAAGAGAAAAGAAAAAAATGAGCACAGGATAAACTGTAAGGCAATCATCCTTCGACACTTGTAATAAAATGAGTTTTTAAGTTTCGTTTTGGAAAAAAAAGTCCAAAGTTTTGTCTCTCGAAGAGACGCGGGATCTTTTAACGAATACGCGACTTCAAACGCAGCCGGCACAGAAATTTAAGCCGAGGTGGGAGACGCCGCCGAGGTCTGAAGGAGCTCGCACACTGCTGTAAGAGGATACCGCCGGTCGTGGCCGACACCTCCTCGGCAGACCGTCTGTCCGCTGAGGAATTCTGCAGGACAGCCAGTTTACTGCAGCCGGGAGACAAGGCTGACCAGAGGGCATCGGGTTTTCTGGGAGGGGCGAGAGGGGGAGGCGAGACGCCGGAAGAGCGAGCTTTCTCGACTGTATTTTTAATTTTAATCAGGAGTGCTAAGCCCGGCCTCCCCTCTCAGCACGCCCAGCCGGTATTTCTGGTTATTCAGTTTTTACTTTGCGGTATTGGTCCTGCCCAAACAGATAACGTCTGTAAATTCCTATTACTGTCGGTTATTATTTCCACTTATTATAACATTATATCCCTTTTATCTTTCTGCATCCGGCCTGAAGTTTTTATTATTATTATTTTCATTGCACTGCTTGTTCACGTGTTATCGGATTTCTTTGCGCCGCGAAATGCCGTGCTGTGTCCCAGTAATGCTATTTATTTTCCATATTGAACTGCAATCTGAAATTAATTTCAAAATGAAATGAAATTAAAGTGCTTTTCTGATTATTTTTTTGTAACGACCGATGCAAGCACTGGCACAAGACAGATGACTATAGTATTATATTTAATTATTATAATAATTTGATTCTCAGACAGGAATGATTTAATTGTAATTATTAATTAAACAACATTCTAATATAATATATACTAATTGCGATAGATGTTACAATCATATTCATATTAGATATTATCCATTACATGATTTATGGTGATTTTTTTATTATAATAGACTGTAACATGCCCGGTGTTTTAAGAAATGGGCACCGCATGCAAAATAAAGGGCAAACCCAGTTCATGTCAAAATCACGTGTAAAACACCCGAGCGAGGCCTCTTTTAGAATATTCTGCACAGTTTCGTTTTCAATATTTTAGAAAAGATATTGCCACTGGGGAATCAGTCCCGAGAAGAGCAACTAGATCTGGATCAGAGAAGCTGACAAGCAGACCTGCTACACGTATTCAAAATCCTCACAGGCCCTGACCCAGTGGACGTCTTCAGAATGAACAGCGCGACTCAAATGAGAGGACTCAAGTGCAAACCAAGTGGTAGTGCGTCTACAACCGGGATCAGGAGGCAAGTCTTTACACAAAGGGTGGTGGGGGAGTGGAGCAAGCCGCCCTGCCATGTTGTCAAAGCTCGGGTCTTGGCTTCTCTCAAGAAACAGCTGGGTGAGCCACTTGGATCTGTTATCTAATGACCAAACAGGATTCACCTCCAGAAAAACCTTGTTTCTCCTCTGGCAGAAAATCCTTTCTTCTGTTTGTTTTTTTAGAACCCTGCTTTGTTGACCAAAGCTTCAGTTAACATCAGACTGCAGGCTGGGCCAGTGCCCTCTGTCTACCGCTTGCCCAGGGCAGCATTCCTCTGACAAAATGGCCTGCTCTGGTCTTTCCCACATACCCTCTGACAGCTATGAAACTGAAGAGTGTCTTTTCTCACGGAGCCAAATGTCGCAGAGGTGCTCTGTCCACTGCAGTTATGTCACATTGCTTGAGGCACAGATGGCAGATGGGCGTTTCGATTGGATTTCTCTCTCTAAAAGAAAGAACAGTTCTTTCCTGGTCCAAATCTTTAATCCCCAGTGACAAAGACACACACACACTCGTCCACAGAGTCCATTGTCACCCTCGCACACACACACTGGTCCACAGAGCA